CTCAAAGCAAACCGCAGTCCCGTCCCGAGTAAGATTAGCGCAAAGGGCGGGATGTATCCGCCTAATCATCAATTCTGACAATATAGAGGTGATTGAGACCATGCGGGACGGAGGACAGCGAGCGGGAGCGGCGGCGGCAATCTTCGATGACTGCTATCACTATGCTTGTGATTTTATCATGACTAAATTCGAACATTGTAATAGAGAGACAACTAAAATAGCACATGAACTGGCTACATTAGCTAGATTTTTTTCGACTTCGGATTGGCTTGAGGAGCCTATTAGTGAAATTGTAACGTTTCTCACAAACGATGTATTGGTTATTACTAATGAATAAATTTTCATTTTAATTCAAAAAAAAAACTGCTCCTTTCCACTTTCCAAGCGCAGGCGATGTTTGTTTTGTAGGCCTCGTTTCTGCAAAACCTTTAGCACTAGGAAACATGTTTTTGAAGACAATATTATTTTAGCTATCCATATTACTTCCAAACTAAAGCGGCAACTATGACAGACAGGCATCAAATTTCCAACCTCTGCAGTAAATTTTAGAAACCAACTACACAGATCATTCCCTTGAAATATTAGTCGGATTGGATTGGTGTGTGATTGTCAACCAATTAACACTGGATGGCTTGCTTGCTTGCTTGGTTTCTCCAGCTCTAGTTTGGTGTACCTAGTGTTCACGATCGATCAAGCTGGATGCGGGGAGTGGTGCCGGAGAGGCGGCGGTGGCGGTGGAGGTTGTCAGGCGCAAGCTGGAGAGGAACCCTCGCGTCTTGATTGGTAAGTGTTTGGTCTGTACCTAGGTAGCTAGGGTTTTTGATGCCGTAGATCAAGTATCACACAGTCTAGTGTGTATTATCCTCGTCCTCTTGTTAAAAGAAAGAGAGGGTAGATAGGTACCAGACGCCACTAGCGTGATGTCGGCAGGCAGCATCTCTATCCGCCGTTAGTGGTCAGAATGGAAGGAGAAAGATTGTGTGTCAGGCCCCAAGTCGAGTCAGACCTGACGCCTCAAACCTCAAGCTAACTAGAGCCAAATGTTGAGAGTCCAGAAAACAGAGCAAAAGCAGAGGAAGCATCGAGTTTGCAATGCATGCCCTGCGCCCAAGAGATAGACCCACCAAATTAATGGCATCTCCTCCTCTAGGCAAGCCTCACAAGAGGATTATGTATCCACTCAAACTGTACGGTAAAATCGCATATTACCGTCTAGTACTATTTAACAAAGGCACAAAGCACTCATGACAGTATAGCTTTTATTGCCTCATCAGCCAAACGCAAATCAAGCTCAGTTATTGATACAAAACTACTCTCAGGATGTCTGCTATATAATTTATTCATTGCCTCAAGGTTGGGAACTCAGAAGTATCTTTCTCTTTTAAAAATATTTCATAAGACTACTTTTCCTTCGACTTCTCCGGTGTACACCTTGGAGAGATCACGCAAAATAAGCATCGGCTCCTATGAGATATCACACTGCACTTGACTATACCATCAATCCGTAGCATGGATGAAACCCAATTTTAAATTTACAAGTTTCATCACCATGCAAAACATACAGCATAAATCTCCCCATAAAAATGTTTTACTCTTTACTTAGTTACTACAACTCTGCTGAGAGCTATGCTAAGAATTTCCGACGGCTTTTGAGAATCTCGTATGCATTTGAACATGGAAGAACTATTACAGAGGACATGCTGTCATTGGTTGGCAGCTCAATCGCCAGACCCAACCGCAGCAGCGTCTCCACAGCTTTGTCCATAGGCATTTGTTCTAAAGATTTTCGATAGGCATTTCAATCTACAAGGAAATCAAACTCTCAATTAGTGGTTTCATGACGACCACAACCAGAGTACACCAGACACAAGTTGTCATATTCATATGAAATTTCTTGTACCTGAACTGCTCTTTACACATCCCTATCTTTTTGTTACAGAATATGATGAACATGGCTAGCCAGCTGCTGGAATTTTGTGTGGACGCCTTCTAACTGTACCTACTGTGTCAGCATTCCAAAACTCGTTCAAACAGAGTTTGTATTGCACATCTGTGACAGTGCTCGAGAGGAGATCACCGCGGGGACATAGTGAGGCAACAGCGATGATCACAGCCCAAAAGGTGACGGGAGAACTGAACTGGACACCGATGCACCTCCACAAGCGGCTCCGATGGCTGCTAGCAGTTTACTTGGAAATTCAGAAGTGTTTTTCTCATCCTTTTTAGGAATTTAAAAGAGTATTTTTCCTTCAACTTATCCGGTGCCCACCAAAATCAGCAGAAACTCCTATCAGCCATCACATTTTACTATACCATCGTTCTGCTGTAGGAATGAAACTCAATTTGCAACCAGTTTTCATCACCCTGCAGAATGTGAATCATAACTGTTAGACAAGCCAGGAGTTACAGGATGATCCTCCTTAACAGGATCCCTTTACTTGGTTACTAGAACTCTCCCGGGACAAGCCCTTCCACTTTCAGGAGCATTCTGCATCACAGAACCTTTACTCTTTACTTGGTTCCTACAACTCTGCTGGCGAGATATGCTCATAGTCCAAAAGAAGTTAAATCGAGCTGCACTGGGATGGGAGCTATGGACAGTTGGCTGTCAGACTGTTTCTGGTGCATAAGTCTCGTACATAAACTGCCCGCATGTATCTCTGATGAAAGTGAACATGGCATACCTGAGAGTTCTTTTGCCTATTAGATCTCTGAGCTGGGTATGGCAACCAGTTCGCATCGCCAAACTGGATTACATCTATAACTGCACACTTGAAGAAAAAAATAACCATAATGGAAATGAAACTCAAAAGGGAAAAAAGGAAAGGCAGCCAGAGGGCCGGAGAAGGAAGCAACATACACATTTCATTCCACTTCCATAGAAGTAGTGCCTGGAAAGGAGGGAACTGAAACCTGCGGCATGCATGCATGCTCTGGTTCTGCAAAGAAAGGAGGCAAATGCTAGATGAAATATGTAGCTTGCAGCTAACCTCTCATAAAGCCTTTTGGACGGAGAAATGATCATAAAGTTAATTTTCTACTCCCTCCGTTCGGAATTACTTGTCTCGGAAATGGATGTATTTAGAACTAAAATACGTCTAGATACATCCATTTGTGCGACAAGTAATTCCGAACGGAGGGAGTAGATGACGATACAAGGTTTTTTCCCCTGAGAGTACTGCACATACCAAAAATTTGCCCGGTTGAGATGCTCTCTCCAAGATATGAACAAATTTTGTGTGGTAGAGAAAACCTACAAAGAAAATATGCCCATACTCATTCCTTGGGGAATGATTCATTTATAAATAAGCCCTTGAGAGTTTCCAAAGTAGACAAACTTGAAGAACTTTATATACGAAACTAGAATGTTACATACCTGATTAAGAAAATAAAGAGCAAAGGCTACAAAAAAGGGTCACACCATTTCATAATAAGTAGAGTTTGGCCCCTCCTCCTTTTCCGGGCTTGGGACCGGCTATGCAACATGAAGCATAACATCATGTTAACATAGGCAGAGTTACACCCCCGCCCCCCTCTATAAACATCAAACCCCCCAAAACCAAAGAACAAGACACACATGCACATACACACAAAGCAAATGGTTGCAAGACTCCAAGACCTTTTTTTGTGCTTTTCTTTTCATTAATAAACAAGTAAGCAAAACACCACGCAAGCCACAAAGTGAACAGACTTTGTTTTATGGTTTTCTTTTTTCCTTTGCTGTAAAGAAAATAGACATTTTTTTGTTGTTTTCCTTTTTTTTCCTTCCTACAGAAGACAACATATATATTATATGTGTCTTTTGGGGCAAAAACTAGGATTTTTTTCAAATAGATAGCCAAGCGACATAGTTAAGGATGAAACATCCCTTCATGTATTTGAAACCTTTTTTTTGTAGAACTTTTTTTCTCGAGAGTGAATAAGGCAACATGGCACTAAAATACAACTAAAAAAGGAAACATTTTTTTGTTTTTCCGGTGAGTGAATGACTAGCTATGTGATATTCCAGCTGGTAACATTTGCTGCACAAGTCGCTTGCGGCCTTTTTTCTTCTTCTTTGCGATGATTTGCTAACACTGCCAACCTACATATATGAAGGAATAATGAGTCACAGAATGTATATATTTAGAGAGAGAGAGAGAGAGAGAGAGAAGATATTACACATTAGTTCAGCCTGAGACAGAAATAACCATGTGCTTCCCATGAAGAAGAGGTACTTACCCCAAGCTATCTTGCTTAGTACGTCTTCAGTTCAAATGTGAAACCGCTGGGGCCAGAAAAGATTGCCTCCCTCACCACATCCTTAGCCTCCTCTGAATCGAATTCATTAAAGTTGTACCATACTAGAATTACAACTCTCCGAAGCATAGGGAGATTCACCAAGCTACCAAAGTCAGGTTTAGTGTTGAGGTCCATAACTGAGACAACGAACTCGAGATATTCAAGGTTTGGCATTACTCCAAGGAAACGGGGCGTTCCATCCGTCTTGAAAGCTCTCAACTTGGGGAATGCACCTGGAGCTCCCGTGACATCATAGTGATAAGTATTCACATCCAGCTGGAGAGTAACGAGCTCTGGGAACCTTCCAAAGATCTCCACATCCACAGCATTCACTTGTAATAATAAGTGGGAGAGGTTTGGTTGAAGAGATGGACTAATCTTTATAGGCAGCCCAGGTTGTTTGTACTGCATATGCAGAACACGGAGTTGGCGAGGGGGGACATAGCCTTCTCGGCAGTAGGTGGCATCACCTTCTTCTTTATATATAAACCAACCAATGTCTATGACCTGAATTTTCTGCAGTTTGGCTAGAGACTCCTCCCAATCTTTTATCAAGCTCGCACTCTTCAACCGTAAAGATACAATGCAAAGCTTCCTCAACTCTATCAGCTTTCCGAGATCATTCACAAAGTTTGAGGACTCACTGACGTTCAATAAGCATAACTCTTCCAGAGATGTCAGGTTTCTGATCCAGTCTAGTGCTGTGTCTTCCAGACATTGCAGCATCGAAAACCGGTCCGCGTAAACACGCAGGCACTTGAGTTGACTTAATTGACCAATACTCTGTGGCAGTTTCAGTAGTTTGTTGCAATCCTTCATCTCCAACATCTGTAAGAATTTTAGAGCTCACTGATATTTATATTCCTTAGTCCAAGATACCTCAAGTGAACTAACTTTCCAAGATGCTCAAGGCAAGTAGTGTCATGTTCAGAAGAGGTATCACCTTCTAGAGCTAGGACACGTAAAACTTGAAAGCATGAAAGCGATGGCAGCTTAACATCACTACTCAAGACATTAAATGACCTTACTTGTGGCATACATGTGTTAGCCAGACAGTTTTTGTCTCCAACAGCTAACCTACGGACATTGTGATGTACTGTATATGCTTGTTGCTCATTATTGTACAATGCAGTGACAAAGTTTTCTTCCTTTGCTAACCGACAGATCATGTCAAGAACCATATCATGAATACGGCAACCCGTAATGATGTCGTAGTAACCTGTAATGGTGCGATCATACGGGTGGGAATCTACCGGTTGTATCATGCTTTTATTTATCAGCTCGTTGAAATACCTTTCACCAATCTCATATAATCCTACCCCTGCTTCCTCATGAATAAAACCCTCGGCAACCCACTTCCATATCAGACTATCTTTCTCGATTAGATGTTCTTCCGGATATATGCTCATATACAATAAGCAAGTCCTTAGATAGCAAGGCAGATCATAGTAGCTAAATAAAAGTATCTTCCTCGTGTTGCTGACATCTTTGTTATCTTCATTTCCAAAACCAATTGAGTTGTACACCTTAGACCAAAACTCCACTGGTTTACCAACAAGCAAGCTAGCCATTGTGATTATAGCCAACGGTGCACCACCACATTTATGCAACATTTTCTCGTATACCTCTGCTGGCTGATGACAAGCGCCTTTGTTTTTGCCACCAAACAATCTTGTATGAAATAGTTCCTCAGCTAAATCATGAGAAAGTGGTTTTAGCTTGTATACTTCACCGGTTTTTGTCGCAACCTCGAGAATACGAGTAGTTGTGACTATCCTGCTTGCACAATTATTATCAACAAGAGCACATCTGATTATTTCCCACGCTTCTGTATCCCATATATCATCAATCACGATGAAGTACCTGCCCGCATACAAAATGCAACAACTGTAATTAATTAGTGAAACTATTTGGCAAGGGGCCTAAGTAAGCATCTAAAATATCCAGGGAAAAAAGGGGATGCATTTGCATGACAACCACCTAATGTAAAATAGGCATTATTCAATAAAGAAATAGTGAAATGATAGTTGCAGGGGAGAAATCATGTGGCCGTCCCCTTGTTCTGTTTAATTAAATTTCTCGTTTTAAAACTGGATTGGAGTAATAGGGTGCATACCTCTTGGTCGCTAGTGATCTTCGGAGTTGGTCGATGAGCTGCCTTTCATCCCATGACGATAAAATAGAATCCTGATGCTTTTGCTTGTCAATTTCAAAGAGAATGTCGTTGAGAAGTTTCTTCACGCTAGGTTTCAGTCCCACCGGAACAAAAGCGCTGCAATCGAATTGCCATTGGAGCTCATCATACACTGCTTTAGCAAGACTAGTCTTGCCAAGACCTCCGAATCCAACAATAGAAACTATCTTAAGTTGCCTGGACACATCAGTATCCCCCTCAGTCAGCATCTCAGTTAGGTTGCTCAACGGCTCGTCGATGCCAACCAGTTCTTTCCGATCTTTATACAGAGACATCAGGCGAGGGTCAACCGTTGCTGAGCCTGCTGGACTAGCAACCACATCATCGACCTTGTACCTATCACGCCGGTCAGCTGCCTCCTGGACTCGGGCCTTGATGCCCTTGACCTCCTCGGCGATCTGGTGGCGAGTCCTGCCCTTGGTGAACAGGTCGCCCATCTTCTCCATGAGCCGTTTGAGCTTGCGTGGTTTGTCGGCGGCAGCGGAAGAAGCCTTGGGGCCCTCGACGCGCACCAGGAACTTGTCGACGACGTCCTCCATTCTGTATGAGAGGTCCCTGACGTCGTCGGCCCAGAGCTGGACTTGCACGTCGAGCTCGTCCCGCGGCACGTCCCCGACCTTGCGGAGGGCGGCGTACATGCTTGTCAGCTCTCTCTTGAGGTACTGTACGTCTTCCTTGACTCCGGCCTGCAGCTTGTACTCGTCCGTAAGGAGGCCGCCGAGCTTGAGGAGGAGGCTGCCCATGGCCCCCGTCGCCAGATCCATGGCTCGCGGGGCCGGCGGCGCCGGGGTCGGGGTGGCCGGCGGCACTGAGGTCTGAGCGGCAGAGCCGGCGTTAGGAGGCCGCGAGCTGCCGCTGCTATGGCCGGGGCGGGGGCGGGGGCGGGGGTGAGGGTGAGGCGGCGTCTCGAGGTTGAGGGAGGACGGCGAGGGGATGCTATGGCCGGCGGCGGCGGGATTTAGGGATCTGGAGGAGGGGAGCGTGGAGAGCAGAGTGGTGGATCTGGCTGCCTGCGGTGCCAAGACCGACACCGGTCTTCTTTTATTCAGTCGTGAGAAATGATACTACCTATGGGCTGGCTCACTTTATTTTATTTACGAAATAGGCTTGCGCCCCGCTATATTAATATAGCAACCACCCGATACAGCCAGAAGTTCGTCGCTGGGGCAAACAACATAATCAAGCCCAAAAGAAAAACATGAGAAAAGCAAGAGAAAGAAATGCCGGCAGCACCGGATGAACGAAAGCTGAAGCATCCCACAACCACTGCGCCCACCAGAAACATCCACCACGCTCCAATACCATCGAGTCGCGGCGAACCAAGCAACACCTTCAAGAAGGACTGCGACGATGACGACGCTGCTGCCCGGACGAATCCTAGGATTTCTCCCGGTACATGGAGAGAAGCGGGCGAGAGGTACTCCCGACTCCCTTCAAGAAGGTTGACGGCGCCCGCAGGCGTCACCGCGTCGGTGCCGGGCGGACCCGAGAGGGATTTCGCCCTACCCCTCAAACCCACAACCCAAGACCAACCGGCGGCTCCACCACGCCAACCGCCCACCAACCTGCGTCACCACAGTCACGAGGACACCACCGTCGTCTCTCGACCGCAGACGCTGCGAGGCCGGCCGAACCAAACGAGACCACCGCCGATAGGGACCGGGAGCACCACAGCCACGTGGGAGGGGACAACCTCCACAGGTACTTTTCTTCGATAGACCATACCATTTTTATTCTCCTATAATAAAAGTGACAGAATATAAAAATATGAATTTAAGCGAAAAACTATGCATATGAATGAGAAAGATAGATGCAAAAATTTAAATTCCATGGCATGCCTAAAATCTTTCCCAAACATGGAGAAATCACAAGCCATAGTGCATAAAATGCTTTCTTTCCCACTAACGCGAGCTATATGATAGCCTTGTCACCAGCAAGCCATGGGCAGAAAGGCGGACCTCTTGATGGCAAGGATATATATACATAGGTTTTTTTTCCCAACATCACCGAAACAACTGAATTAAATTTAGTAAAATGCTAGTACCAGTGTCAAGTTTAGGACTTGAAACTTTAATGGGCTGGTTCCATCAAAATAAACCTAACCATCTAAGCTACGGTCAGTTCACATCAAGGTACAAAGGGGTGCACGCGCGTGAGCACACACACACACACACACACACACACACACACACACACATATATATATATATATTTTTCCTATGTAGGACAAATGTTATCTACCATCAGTGATAGTTACCATGTACGTTTAGTATGTATAAGAATATTTAGGTAGTATATATACTAATTTTCATAGTACGTATTATATTTTAAGTATGCTCTTTTTTACATACAAATATGTATGTATTTCATAAATATAAAAAACCATTGGTCAACTTGCAATCTTTTCATGTAACTCACTTTAAAATATCTTATATAAAGTATATGAACATACTTATAAAATGATAAAGTAGAATATATAGTACCATATGGTAGTATATGAGACATGTGAGGTAACTACCCCTACGTGGTAGAATGTATTTTCCCTATATACTCCTGGGAGTATGTAGTCATGCTTCTCATATACCACATATATAGACGAATCTTTCATACCTTATTCTTATTTTTAATATACTTCATTAATAATTACAAGATACCCTCAAATGAGTTTAAAATTCATGTGATCTACATATTTTTAAAGGTTTACGTATATATTGATTTGTTTATATGTGAAAAAGGTATATTAGAAAAAATAAGTTGCAAACGATATTTTTTCAATAAAACTTGTATTGAGGTATTTTGGAATATTTAATGAAGTACTCCCTCCGTTCCTAAATATTTGTCTTTCTAGAGATTTCAACAAGTGACTACATACGGGGCAAAATGAGTGAATCTACACTATAAAATAAGTCTACATACATCCGTATGTTGTGTCCATTTGAAATGTTTAGAAAGACAAATATTTCGGAACGGAGGGAGTATATTGAGAATGATAAATAGGTATAATCAATGCATATACGAGGTATATTGAGGATGAAAGTATATACTGTCAGGGGTACAGAAAATTAGTCAGGAATACAAGTTGAATGCAGTGAGGTGGACTGATATCTATATACATATAGAAGCGGATTACCATGATGCACGGCAAGCTCAGTTCACAAACTTATTTTGGTACCACGAAAGGATCAAACACACATAAAAAGAGATATGTATACGTATAGAGGGGGAGGGTACCTTGATGCGCAGATACCTCGGTTCACCAAATTACTTTTGAACAAGAACGAGATTCCAAAGTCTGAAAAGAGATGCTACACATTAAGCCTTTTGATGGATATATAAACCTGCACTGCCTATCGTGGTCAACAATACGAGTACACAATTTTTTTCGGGTAACACTATGAATACATATACATACCCATGATGCCATCCCGATCGCCTTGACGTGAAATTTGAGATGGCTAGGATGGGCGTTGACTGCGCACCTCCCTGCTTCGTCAATCTCGTTTGAGTATTCATGATAGATATCCTCCTGTATGCCGACTATGACTTCCTTGAGCAAAGGGAGGTTCACCAAGCTACCGAGGTCAAAGTCATGAAGCTTGCCATCCTCAGTGTACTGCGCCTGGAAAATGGACTGGAGGGATTCGAGGCTTGGCATATCTCCCTCTAGAAACTGGCCAGGTGTTGCGGACGTCTTGAGAACTCTCAACTTGGGGAATGCACCTGCACCGCCCATCACATCATGGTGGCGACCACACGGCATGTCCAACTTGAGAGTAAGAAGCTTTGGGAACCTTCCAAAGATCTCTAGATTTGGAGTGCCGACATGTATAGTTAAATGGGAGAGATTTGGAAGAAGTGAGGGGTTAATTTTTGCTACCAACCCAGGCTGGATATATGACATGTGTAGAACAATGATTTGTCGAGGAAGGACGTGGCCTTCCCATGTGTCGTCAACATCTGGCCATGACATAATAGTGTCAACGTCTATGACTTGGATTTTCTGTAGTTTTACTAGAGACCCCACCCAAGCATTTTCCAAGCTCTCGCTGCATAACCATAAATGTCCTTCAATACGGAGCTTTCTCAACTCTGTCAGCTTGCCGAGCCCATTCAAAGATTTCGGAGAAACTTTGCTGCCATTAATCCGTAACTCTTCCAGATATGTCAGATTCCCGATCCAGTTTGGTATTTTTGTTGAGCTATTGTAAGCATGGAGACACTTGAGTTGATTTAGTTGACTGATACACTTCGGCAGTTTTTTGATGTCATTATCACTCAAATCCAGTGTTTGTAAAAACTTAAGATTCCCTATTTTCTTTGGGAGTTTACAGATATCCAGGTCCCCTAGTCCAAGATACCTCAAGTGAACTAGCTTTCCAAGATGCTGAAGATGAAGATGTTTTATTTTTGTCCAAACAGAAGAATCAGTTTCACATTTTAGATCTAGGATACGTAAAACTTCGAAGCACGAAAGCGATGACATCATAGTAACATTGCACGTGGCATTAAGGGACCTCACTTGGGGCATGCACATGTTGGCCAGAGGATCAGATCTCCATCCAACTGCTAACCTACGAGCATTGACATGTGAAGATGTGTACTGCTTGTTACCATCCAATAAAGTAATAAAGTTTTCTTCTTTCGACAATAGACATATCGTATCAAGCACCATATCATGGACACGGCAACCAATAATGATTCCATTATATGGCTTCTCAATCGGTTGTACCATGTTTTTGTTTACCAGCTGGTTGAAATATCTCTCACCAATCTCAAATAATGTTACCTCCGGTTCCTCATGAATAAAACCCTCGGCAACCCACTTCCATATTATAGTATCTTTCTCAATAAAATGATATTCTGGATATATGCTCAGGTACAATAAACAAGTCCTTAGATGACAAGGTAGGTCATAATAGCTGAACAAAAGTATCTTTCTTGTGTTCTCGACATCTTTGTTATCTTCACTCCCAAAACCAATCAAGTTGTATGCCTTAGACCAATCCTTCACGGGTTTACCAACAAGCAAACTAGCTATTGTGATTATAGCCAAAGGCACACCACCACATTTATTTAAAATTTTATCGTATACTTTTGTTGGATGATCATGAGAGCATTTGTTGTTACCTCCAAATAATCTTGTATTAAATAACTCCTTGGATAAATCACGAGAAAGCGGTTTTAGTTTGTATACTTCACCGGTCTGTGTGGCGACTTCGAGAATACGAGTAGTTGTGATTATCCTGCTTGCAAAGTTATTGTGCACCAAAGCGCATCTGACTGTTTCCCACACATTCATATCCCATATATCATCAATAATGATGAAGTACCTGTCCGTGTCCATGACGCATCAGAAATAATAAATTAGGGAAATTATTTGGTAAGGCTTGAGAGTATCTACAATAAGTACGAAAGAATCAAACAGAGATGTGTCCATATACCACATGATGCATTAGGGCGCATATATAAGTACCTCTTATTCTCGAGTAATTCTCGGAGTTTGTCAATCAGCTGCCTCTCATCCAATGCCAATGAATCTTGGTATTTTTTCTTGTTGATTCCAAAGAGAATATCCATGAGAAGTTTTCTCACGCTGGGATTCTGCCCTACTGGAACAAAAGCGCTGCAATCGTATGACGATTGGAGCTTATCATACACTGCTTTGGCAAGAGTATCTTGAGCTCCTTGTCTTGGTCGGTCAGCATCTTTGTTAGGTAACTCAACGCCACATCAATGCCAACCAGATCTTTCCTGTCCTTGTACA